GTGATGTGAGTATCAGTCACATGGAGGCAGGGCTTAAATGCCTGAATTTTGCCTGAAACTCTCAGACTGAAGAAGTCTCTTGGAGGAGAGACGAAACATTTCATTAGAGAAAAACCCGTCCAGAAGACCTATACTATTATTTTCTTTTTGATACTGACGTAGTGCTACTCTTACAACCTTTGAGTACACTGCCTACCTCTGCATATAGCTCAYTGTTCAGTGCCTGTTTCAGTTTTCTGTTGTTTTGGCTGCACCAGTTTCATATTATAAATGTTATAATTCAACGATAAGTGGAAAAACTACAATATCTTTTAATAATATTTGCTAGAAACCTATCTGCTTTCGATGCAGACTGATGCCAACATCGCTTTTTACACAGAAAACACAACAAAAACTAAAATGAGGACACATTCCTGAAATGAAATTTGGTATTTAATAAACCTTATTTGTCCTCTTGCTGTTTTTTTTTTATGTTTGGAGTATTGGTTTTGTATYTCAGCGTTTAGCAGAAAATGCCGTTATGTGACCTCCAATTTAGAAATTTAATTTTCCAYGTCTCCAAGTCCTGACCGCACACATGTACAAGTCATTTTATTAATCATGATTCAAACATCAGCTCCCTGTAACAGTTTTTTTTCTTTGTCCACRTTTCCAAAAAGAACATTCATGAGTCAATCATTGATTGGTCAGGACCCTTAGAAATACAAAACTAAAAAAAGGGCTGTAGGTAAATGCTCCGGCTTTCACTTAAGTGGCTTGGTTTTGTAATACAGCACGGCGAGGTAAAGGTTACACCTTCTCCTTTTTCTTTCCAATCTATCTCGTGATGACCTTTCAAAAGGCAATCCACACATTTCTGCTGTTTACAGCATTGTTCAGGCACAACCACCACAAATCCATCTCAAACCGTGGAGGAGAAAAATCTGTAAAATCACTTGTATTGTTCAAATTTACACGTGAAACAAACTTTTACTTTGATTCGCACAATAATGTCAACTAAAAGGTGCATACACAGTCTTCTACCATCAATTCTTTTCTTTTTTTTTTGTCTTCACCTTTGGGAAGCCGCAAGCATATGCAAATGGAAGAATCAAATTATGGGATGCCTGCTAGAATTATGCACCAGCCTTCCCAGTCTCATCCTGGCCAGACTCCAGGAACTCTGAAAAGCCTCATCCTGCTCAAACACCAATGGAAGCGTGACAACATGGAGAAAAACAAAAGCTACATTTTACCATCAGGGTTTCTGAGTAAAAACAAGCCAAGAAAACAGATACGCATCCCCCCCACCCCCCCAATGTGCAACGGGGTATTTAATCAGCCCAGAACAACAAAGAATGACAGAAGCAGCAGTGTATTTTCGTTTTCTCCTTCCCTGAGAAACAATAAGAAAAGCTTTTTTTTTTTCTGAAAGTCTGAGTTGGCGTGAAGGACGGAGAGAGCAGGAGATCCACAGGGTGAAGTCACCGTTAACTCCGGCTACAGCAGACATTTAGCTGGGTGTCACAGTGGAGCCCCCCTTAGGCAGTGAGAAGAGGGGGGGCTGAGTGAGTTGTCCACGGTGCCGAACGCTCATCAGCTCTGTCAGCTCGGCAGCAGGGAGTCCAGCTCACACTTTAAAAACGACTGACCTGTCCTCCTCAGAGTGTCGCGCTTCCCTGATTTGAGTAAAATCACTGAAACTGAGGAACAGCGCTACTTTCATACTAATATACTTCAACAAACTGCACGTTTTCACCTTACAATTAATAAAACTTTAATAGTTTACAGAAAGGTATTAAAAAATTACCCCAACCTAGCTCAATTAAACATGTACAAATACAGTGGTTTTGCCTGTGTCTGTTAGCAAAATATCTCGTGAACAACTAGCTGGATTTTAACAAAACCTTCACAATAGAATCACGGGATACACATCTACAATTCACAAATGTTCAGAACCAGTCCAATTCAAGATGGCCGCCACAGCTAGTCAGCATTAGCAAAGACATAAATGATTATAACTCTGTGTATTTTTTAGATATTGAGTTAAAATTCAGTGTGTTAGTAGCTGAGAGTTATTCACATCACATAATCTGAGCATGACTCTTGAATATGCACAGAATTCCTGGATCAGTATGAGAGATGGCAGGCAATATGCATTCTTCAGAAGCACACGACAACCTGAGCAATAAAATAGATTCTTTCCACATGACTGAAATACACATTTTCTTGCAACAAACAATTCATTTACAATCTGCCTGGCTGAAAAGGCGTGATATGA